TCGCCAGAGAAAAGGCGGCGAGTAAAACTGAATGTCGTGACTTCAATTACAGATATTGAGTCCTTCCAGCCTTTTGAATAAAAATCCTTCACACGGTTCTTTATAAGGTTTATAAATTGCCACTGACAACAGATGAAGTTTCATGATATTGTGGACACGGCAATAAATGTTCGGGATCCATAAAATAAGATGGGATTTCCTGATCATTTAAGAAACTAAAAATTTGCTAGGAAAGGTCATACTGCCTCCGTCATCAGGGCGATGAGTATGAAGATTTCTGTCTTCTGGGTTGTTGCGCTGTGTAGACTGGTCGATGTTAACCAACGTTTCAGAGGTCATACTGCCTCCGTCATCGCCCTGATGACGGAGGCAGGATGACCTCCGAAACGTTGGTTAACATCGACCAGACTACACGGCGCAACAACCCAGAAGACAGAAATCTTCATCGCCCTGATGACGGAGGCAGTATGACCTCTGAAACGTTGGTAAACATCGACCAGACTACACAGCGCAACAACCCAGAAGACGGAAATCTTCATACTCTGATGACGGAGGCAGGATGACCTCCGAAACGTTGGTTAACATCGACCAGACTACACGGCGCAACAACCCAGAAGACAGAAATCTTCATCGCCCTGATGACGGAGGCAGTATGACCTCTGAAACGTTGGTAAACATCGACCAGACTACACAGCGCAACAACCCAGAAGACGGAAATCTTCATACTCTGATGACGGAGGCAGGATGACCTCCGAAACGTTGGTTAACATCGACCAGACTACACGGCGCAACAACCCAGAAGACAGAAATCTTCATCGCCCTGATGACGGAGGCAGTATGACCTCTGAAACGTTGGTAAACATCGACCAGACTACACAGCGCAACAACCCAGAAGACGGAAATCTTCATACTCTGATGACGGAGGCAGGATGACCTCCGAAACGTTGGTTAACATCGACCAGACTACACGGCGCAACAACCCAGAAGACAGAAATCTTCATCGCCCTGATGACGGAGGCAGTATGACCTCTGAAACGTTGGTAAACATCGACCAGACTACACAGCGCAATAACCCAGAAGACGGATATCTTCAGGTAGACGATGTTTGTTCAACCCTTTCAAGGCTTCGAAAAACGATGAACTAATGAATTGTTACTTGGATGGCACACGACTGGCAGCTAGTCTTCGTTTCTCTTTTGTTATTGGAATCCTCCGCCCTTCCCACCGCCAGTTCTATTGTGAGGTATCACGCAAACTGCTAAGCTAACTTCTTCGGTAGTTCTCACAAACCAAAGTAGAAACGCAAAGCGATTATTGTCGTCATCTGAGAGGCCGTCTGTTGATATTTCTTCTGCCTTTCATTTTGTAAGAATAATATATATATGCATCTGTAAATTAAAGGCTTTCGAAATCACAGACTACGATAATAAACTTCATCAAACGCAGATGGCAGAGAGATGAAAACTTCTTCGTAGCAGGGTAACAAGATTGCAATGAGTTTCGGGACATATTCGTCGCCTAACACTTTCGACTTCGTGACTAATACTTCGTAGTATTTATTATTATTATTTAGTGTTCTGTCTGACGACAGGTCCATATGAACAGGATCCTTCCATCCTTTTCTCGGACTGGGACCTGTTCATATACGTTCTTGGCAGATGATCCAGAAGTGGTTTGACATTGCCTTCTTCTGTGTGTGAATGCAGTAATTGTTGGGATGCCACGGAGAAAAACTCCGTGTTGCCTACTGAACCCGAACAAATTATGGGACATTACTGGCCAAATTATAGCATACCCTCGTTCGTTCAATGCTAAATAACTTAAAACACATGATACAGCATCGTTAAATAACCCACGAACCAATCTTTCTCTCAACAAGTAACGAAACACGATCAAATATTCTGTCATGTTTCTTCATGAAGTAACAACAAAGACACATCTCACGTACCTGGACACGTGGGCAAACAAACGAAATCTCTATACAGACTACGACCAGAAAATATTGTTATTACATCCGTAACAAATCCTTTAACTCGAATTCCACGGTTTAGACCGCCTTCACAATGTCCAGTTTCCGACTTTCTACCTATCGGAGATGCGATGCAAACTTTCATCTCAGATTGTCACGTGCAGGTCACACCTAAGAGAACTCGGAATCGAGAGAGAAACGCTTCCGAAGCGTAGTGGAATCTTAAAAGCAATGAAAGTGAAACTGGGCGACAAGACCTCTTATATAATATTTCGATATTCGATCAGTCACGGCCCGAAAGAACAATGGGAATCCATAACTTACAAAACCGTCCAAAGACGTACATAAGTGACGAGCCTGTGCAGCTTACCGAGTTTCTAACACAGATTTCTCACTCGAAACACAATAGCCTACTCAGCAGCAGGAAATCAGTCGAATTACATTTTTTTCTTTATATTTGTTAATCAAGCGAAACCAGGAAGAAATATAAACAAAACTGACTCATACTTTAGAATATATCAGTCTGCTGTTTTCGGAAACGTCTCGTGTTTCTTGAATCTTCATAGATCAGTAGACCAAGTAATATATTCACCGTCCAATACCTTCTTGGCTTATTTAATTACATTTCCTTAGTTTCACAGGTTAGCGTCTATAAAGTCTGATCTTAGGATAACTGTGGGTTACAAACCGGAAACAACGGCAAAGGAAATGACCATAGCCGATTTAAATTCATCTCAAAACGTGCAACGAAGGGATCAGAACAATCATTTAAAAGTACGTAAAGACTGAGATTTTAACTCGGGATATCCCAGTACGAAGCAGGAGTGACCTACAATGAAATTCCAACGTTGTTGCTTTATTTTCCACTCCGAGAAAGTTCAACAAAATTTCCAACCTGATAACCTATTTACCTAACACCATTTTAATATTATCTTCGAACAACATAAAGCTTAGGCAGCCTCGCCCCTTGCTGTATAAAACCAATTTTTTATCCCCTTGTTGACGGTTCATACTCCACTCACTGTTCCAAATTATGTGAATAATACAAATTATGAATATCCTCCTTATGCATTTTTCTCAGGTTGCCTGCCACTACACATGTCTTGCTTCTAAATATTATCCTCCAAATTATGTTATAAAATTAATTCACTCTACATTACACTTTCCTCAGACATAGCCATCATATTACTTCAATTACAAGCTCTACAGTCATTAAAATCCCAATATGTTTCAATCCCTATAGCATCATCTTCACGGACACTTTTTTA